TCAATGTATCTGAACATTCTTGTACCAATGTGTTATAACATGTTCAAACATGAACCCTTAAATGCAGGTAAGAATGCAGCACTGCCAATTGAAAATCAGTTTCAGGTAGTGATAGGTAGCTTAAATGAAAGATACTACTAAATGTGACGTCAAAATACCGAACACATTCCAAAACAGCACTACTGTTGAGGGTGTTCAGCTGAAAAATACTCAACAGCTCTGGAACTGTTGAGTCTGCTGAACGCAACCAACACTTCCACTCAACAAACCTTTATCTCTGGTAATGCTTAAATTTCGGGAACAAACATTTTTGGCTTCACCCAAAGTCTGCTTCAGGTTAATTGAAAATTTATTGAGTTTCAAAATTTTTATTTTGAACCACAACGTTTGAAGTTGTTCCAAGGAAAGTCGTTCTAAGTTTGGAAACCTGTTTTCAATTAACCTGAAGCAGACCTCAGGTGAGGCCGAAAATGTTTGTTCCTGAAATTTAAGCATTACCCGGATAAAGGTTCGTTGAGTGGGAATGTTTATTAACACCAGTAATCAGATTAGAAGATATCGATGAATGCAGCCAATAAAAGTTTACTAAGAAAGCCTTCAACACATTACATAGAGAGTATCTAAAACACTAAAGACTTGTACAAATTCTAACTAAAAACAGAGAACTAAATAAGCAACCATTACAAATAGAACCACATTCAATATATTATTTTTAATATTGCTAAATTGCATTTTTCTACAATAAACTCCTGTAAAAAATACACTCAACAGTACAGAAAAACTGAATTTTATCTGTGAGGTTTGTAAAGCAGTGAAACTTACTAAATTTCCTTTTTAAATGCAACACTGTCAATAAAACTGTATTAAGAAGGCATTCAACACATTACACACAGAGTATGAAAAACACCAAAGACTGTGTAAGTTCTACCAAAACACACAACTCACAATTTCCATAGAGAATGAAATAAGTGATCTGCAATCAAATCCACTGTATTAATGCAACTTAACAATATGAAACCACATTAACACAATCATAAGTAGTATAGATAATGCAAGTAAAGGGAAATGAATAGGCTCTAGTGAACACATACCCATGTTTATTGTTTGCAAGTACGATCCACATGGTTTACTCCATATGTGTGTTAGTAATTGTAACCATTGGTGATTATTGCAGCATAGAAAGAAAAACACATGCAATATCTCACTCATTTCTGCCCTCTCGTGCTCACACACTCTTGTGCAATCACATGAATACAACGAAGAATGCAATGTACATTTTTAATATTATCTACTAATTTATTAATTATATTATTATGCAATAACTTACGTTGATGAAAATAACTTGTCTTCGTTTAGTAAAACGTCGTTTAACAACAGATGAACATTAAACCAACTTTCTACCATTAAAGATTATTTACACACCATCATTATTACACGAAATAGTGCCAAGGTCGTAAATATTAAAATCGTTAAATAGTTTGCAATTTTATTAAAAATATATCGTTTAATTGTACCGAAACGTTTCTTATTTATATTCGATGTTCTTACTCGAATTTCTCTTCTGTATTTTAAGTTAAAAATACAGCGTAGTAATATTTCAGTTCGCGTGAAAGAGAAAAATAGTCCGCCGTGCTAGGGATGACGGGAAGGTCGTATCACGTGACTATTGTTTGTAGTGGACTTTTTAAAGTGAAAGTAATTATTATTTGTTCATTTGAATTCAAATTTTTAAACTAATTTTTTTTAATTGCTTATTGGAGGAAATCTTTCTGTTTATATTTTAATTCATTTTTTTTCATTTAACCATTTTTATTTATATTAAATAGGTGTATTAAATACTTACATGGCAAAACTTGGGACTTATGTGTCACTATTTTTTTTTTTTTTTGTTCTAGTGTTAAATACACTACAATTATATTGTTTTCATTGTGATTTCCTTCTGGAAAAAAATGTTAAAAATTATTATTTAAAAAAATGAAATGTTATATATGATATAGAACACGATTTTACTCAATATTTCATATCTGTTTGTCCAATGATCCAGTCCATTAAACATTATTTACACACACCTTCACCGCTGTATAATAGTGCCAAGGTCGCAACAAGTCGCTCAGTCACTTTTAATTCATAGAATATGAAATCACTAATTTTAAAAATATTTTTACGTATCCAATCATTACTAGATTGTTTCAATTCGTAAATTTTAACACAATAAAAGGTTCGAACCTTCTATCACAGATATTGAATGTGTTATGCATACCTTCACATAATGGGATGTTAACGTGACGACCATTATCATTACCCGAATCATTTAACTATGCTCAACAACCCACACAATTGTATCTTTAAATTCTTTCGTGGTGAAATAATATGAACGCATTAATATTTATTAAAATATTCATAGTAACTTAGCCTATTATAGCAGTATCAAGTATTAATTTTATTTTCAGTACGTGGAAGCTTATTGGATACATTCTGACTGTATTTACAATTAAGGATACTTGATCCTTATCATTCCTTGACTCCAACACTTGATCCTCTCACTATTGATCCTTATCATTCTCCAACACTTGATTCCTTGTATTCACAATTAAGGATCAAGAGTTACAACTCTTTACATTTATAAGTATAGAAACAAATTTTCGTATATTTTGCGAAAATGAAGTGCCATCGAGTTATACTGTATTTATACTATAAAATTTAAATATTACAGTATAAATACAGTTTTTAATCTTTTTCTTTTATTATTCCAGAAGGATTTTCAGTTATCAGCGGGAATCGAACGGGAAACCTTCTCTATGAATTATGACATACGTCTTAGTAATTGTTTCTTATTCTGTTGGGTAAGAAACTAGGACCTACGAGAAGGGTTCCGAGAGCCCATGAGTTTTAGTGTGACCCATCAGAGGAAAAAATTTAAAAAATTCCATTTTCTGATTGTTTATCCAAATAGTGAAATAACTTTGGCCACGGGCTAACATTTATACTAGAATATTTTTCTACTTCAATATCATTATGCTATTTAATTGTATAAGCAAGGCGTCCGAAAGGGGGACCCAAAATAGTCTTTGCCCCGACATCCTATATTTTCTCGTGGGTCCTGTAAGAAACAATCAAATTTTGAATCTTTATATTTAAGTTTTCTTGCCAGATTATTTTTTCTATTAATTCATAAATATTTCAAAGCAATGTAGAAAGACTTGCGAAATAATAAAAGTTGATTTACGAGTAGAAATTTTGTGAATTTTAAATTTTGATAATATATATTAACCCCTTAATCTTATACGGTGTATCATATATTCGGTTTATTTATATATTATATTTTACAAAATATGTTTTGTGTTTAACATTAACAAAATTCGTTTTCAATTAACACATTCTTTTGTTTGAACAACAAATCAATGTTAACATAATAAACATGTGCTCCAACTTGTTTTACAAGATGGCACACGTGCTTATTATTTTAAATTTCAAATAACTATATTGTTAAGTTTATTTGATTCCTCATTTGTTATTAATTAAAGCTAGAGGAATCTTAATTATTTTTTTCTGTTTGTATGGATGTTAGTGTGTGTTTGTGGGGCACGATTTTGTTCACCCTTTCAAGTTTAATACTGTAATTCCTGTGCTTTTTGACGAAAATTTCTGAAATTTTACAGGGAGGTTTGTGCATTATGGACATTGATGCTATTAAATTTTGGTGGTTAAAGATCAAGGGGTAGGGAGATAAAGGGGGTCGTGTTTCATATCTCGAATAGGATCGAATTTAATGACGATTTTACTCGTTATTATCATTTACAATTTTTTTTTTTTTATAAAACTCATCCATACCCTTAAAATTAAGCATTTTGTTATAGTTAATAATATAAAAAGTTTTTAGATAAAATTTCATGACATTGCGTTACACACAATCTTAACTTTTTTGCCGGGAAAGTTACGCAACTCGTTGCTGAATTTAAATAAATAAGATCTGACCGAAGAATAAAAAATAGCAATAAAACAGATCGCCTTGTATCCAGCAGTTGATTTAATAAATCTTAACGTTTTGGATATAATACAGTAGGCCTTCCTCAGTGAATTACACCATATAAAAAATAATTTAAAAATTAAAAGGTGTTCCAAACAGATCTAATACTATCATAGAAATAAAATTAATTTATTTTTAAATCATTGGACACGTTGCCTGGCAAAGCGGTTTTAACACAGCTCGATAAATAATCAATGATAATGAACCGTTGAAAATAAATGAACTGTTTCAAATGAAACGGACCATACCATTGGTTTGCTTAGGCCTATTTAGTGTATGTAAACATCATTACCAGGCATTGCGCCCAATCTCAAAATTTAGTTGAGTTTCTTTTAGTTTCGTTTTGTTTTTTTGGTTTAGTTATGGATTCGTATCCTGTAGGGCCTTGTTTTTAGTTAGTAAGTTGCACGATTACTTTGTCACGATTATTGCGAAAGTTTTATTGTAACTATGCAACAATATTATTAATAAATATTTTCTCAATGTTTAATCGAGAAAAGAAGTTTATGAGTTTATAAATAAATCTTTTATATTTTTTAGTCTAACTATCATTAATATAAATGAAAATCATAGATGTCGCTGTTGAATAAGACACAACGATAAAGTGATTTTAAAATCTTTATCCAAACAAAAAAATAATTATAAAATATCAGTATATGATTTCTGTGTAACTGATATTTTCAGGATATATATATATTTAAATATAAATAGTAGTTTCAAAATTCAAACAGGTTTAAATTTGCCTGTTTAGTTTAAAATTTAAAAACTAGATGTCACTACATTAAACAAAATAATTGTAATAATTTTTATGATAGAATGATTTAAATGTTTTTATTATTAATTTTTTTACTGTTTTTTTCTTATTAGTATAATTATTTTTATAAACTTCCATCTTAATTTGAAATTAAAATGAAACATAAACGAATGAAAAATTTTTTGTTTTTTTTTTATTAAATTTGAAAAATAATCGAATTTTTTTTTATTTAAAAATAGCTTTCGTGGTCTGTTTTTGTTTCGAAATTAAACAAAAAGTCTTAGAAAAGAATACAATTTATAATTAATCGATATATTTTATTATTATGTGTAATATTGGTTATAAGTTAGAATCCGGTCTCGATGAGTATGCTTTAAATTTATTTTTATTAATTGTATATATTATTATATTTTTACTATTTATATAAATTAATCAGATACTACATAATTCTACACATATTTGAAATTCAATATAATGTTTTTTGGTTTTACAGTCATCCGAAACATAATGACATTAAGGGATCCCGGTTAAAATCCGACATTTCAATTTTCCCTGATAAATCGGATCTGGATGTCATTCTTTATCCAATTCCCATTTTGACAGATCTAAAAGCAAATCAAGCTTGCCTATAATGTACTGATTAGTCAATTCATCAATAAATGTAATCTAAAGTGATTTATTAGTGTGTTAGATACTTCTAAGGATGACTGCAATGCGATTAAGTCGTCAGTCTACCTCTCTGGAGGACCCGAGATTGAAAATGGAGGGTCCATCCCGGCATCTCGTGCTTCATCCTGATCAGCCATTGTAGACCTATAATAGGGGCGACCGGGTGATATCCGGTAGAATCTATAATATGTTCGGCAGGTCATAAGTTGGCAGACGTTAAACCAGACTAAATCATTTTTACCGAGTTGTAAGGAGAGATTGGGCCTACCAGTGGCCGAGCGGTCTTCGTACCCTAAACACTGGGAGTTCGGTCGTGGGTTCGCGCCGCGATCGGACAGGCTGGCTGCTTGGAGTTTTCCGGGTTTTCTCATTGCCGATAACGACTAAATAGGTGGCCAGTTTCCCATAAAAGTCCTCCCGGAAGGCATTCTTTCCTCTCGCGTAACATCGCGCCCCAGAGAAGGCAACGGGAAACCACTCTGGGTACTAACCTTCCCTAGTAACACCTTGGCGTATTATTAACTACTTACTAATCTGCGCCGGGTGTCGCCGACGTCAGAAATCTGATATGGCACCAAGGAGAGATTGCTATGTTAATTGCAAATAGTTAATTATTTATTGCATCCCTGGAGCATTGGATACCCCTATGAATGGTTTAAAAGTGATTTAGCCTGGTCTAACAACGGCCAAAGTACCAACATATGCTGGAAGGACTAAATTTGATATATTTAAATAAATAATACTGTAATTGTATCGTACAATCGTATGCATACAATTATTGTTTATTTGATATAATCTATTCCAATTCTATTCTAAAGTCTTTCCAGAATAAAAATTGAGCCGATGTTCAAAGTCTATAGAAGCAAAAGAAAATAGTTCTGTGTTCAATAAAGTAGAACTTAACATATAAATATTTGAACATCTATTATATGTCTAAACTGTTAATATCTGAAAGTTTCGACATTTTTGCAAGAAATTTGAAGTTATAATTTTAAAAAGGGCACACGGCTTCATATGACATAATGTTTGAATTTTCACTCTTCAGTATCTGTATTGTATTCCATTTTATTCAATGGCGGAGTGATACACATTTAAGATCTTGTACACTGGCTCTATTCTTATTCTGAGGAATACTTTAGTAAGTAGAATAAGTATAATTATAAAATTGAAATAAGAATTCAAAATACAATGTATAAAATTTTAAAATGTAAATTACTATAATTTTTAGCAGTATTATCATTATCAAAGTCATAAGTTGATAATTGAATCCAATAGAACATTTATAATGTCTTATGTACGAGTAGAAACTCAAGTGTAAAAGTTAAAAGCGTGTTTGATTTCGAATTAAAAATTGGTTAGTAATAGTTTACACTCTCATTTTAAAACTTCAATGTTTATAGGATTGGTGGAATTTTTTGTAAGAATTTCTTTCTCTTAAAAAAGTTTCTTAGTGAATGGTAGCTCTTGCAATGTCTCTGTATAGTATGACTATCTTGTGCAAATAAAATGTTTGTTGCTTGCAGCGTCAAAATTGCTATAGTGATGAGTTTTGGTAATAATTATATTTTAAAGAAATGCCTTTTGCATGTCCTGCAATGTCACCATGCCAGATTTGCCTGTATTTGGGCAGCAAAATATCTCCCGACGTTGAATAGAGATGCTTTAACTACGATCACCTGACATTCAAAATTTATAAGCATTTATAAAGTGATGTCTTGTTTTTTTTTTTTATTAGGACGAGTCTTGGTAAACACAATAGAATTTTCATTATCGGAATTAATTCATGACAAGTGTTTTAGATAATTAGACTAAGGAAAAAATATTCTTATCCAGAAAATACTGCAAGTTTTATTTATTATCACAATGTAAGTTACTATTGTGATAATAAATATTTTCAGTAATTTTTTCTCTGTCCTTTTTCAAGAAAATAATTATTTCCTCCTTGATATTTTTGTAGAGGACATATTATTTAATTGACATTGTAAATATTATAGAGTTCACAAATGATACAATGGGTTTTAAAATCAAATATTAAATACTGATACTGGAATGGTTGGGCATAACAAATGCTTAAGTTAAATCAGAAAATAGAAAAATAGGTCAAAGACCAAACTCATATTCCTTAATTGCAGTGATTCTTTTTTTAAATTCTTTCCACCCTGTGAGCACTAACAGAACCTCTTTAAGCAAACCCATTATGGGGTTCGGCGTGACCTACAATGGGCGCGGTCGGATGGTGAGGGACGGGGCCCGACATATCCAGACGGACTACCACATGAAAAATTATGGAGTTTTTTGAACTGTCTAGATTTGATCCAGTTTCCCCAGAGCGAAGAGTGATCGCTTGGCCATCCGTCTGTTATCCTATGGATACTAAGAGGACCTTAGAGCAAGCGTATTATGAATTCGGTCAGGCCGAAAATGGAGCGGCTTGCTGATGAGAAACGGGGTCAGACATATCCGAACAGATCATCCCTCCCCGAAAAATTCCTGTTTTCGATTCCGGGCCGCCCAGAGCCGCAGGTTTCTATCAACCGCTCGGCCATCTGCCGTCGAAATTATATGTTAATAGTACAGATTTAAATATAAAAGACATAAATATTATATAAGGTTCGATGCAAGAATATAAGGCTACTCACTCAAAGTTTTTGGAATAATAAATTTTATTACACTTAAACAAAAAGTTAGCACAGGAATAAATGTAGATGTAAAAGAATTGCCTATTCTATTTGCAATAAAAAATAAAAATGAAAATATAATTTTTTATTCAAAAATAATGACATTGCAAAAATATAAGGCCAGTGGCATTTAATAGCAAGTAAAACTGCCATTTTTCAAAATAACCTTGTTAACTCTACCTTACATAAAGTTGACAAAATTTAACAGCATATTTAAATCAATTTTTTCCTATGCAATTACAATTGCAGGTTTGAGTTGTTCAATGCTGTGATATTTTTTTCCTGCATACATATCCTTAGCTACGAGACTCCAAAGACTTTCTATGGGTTCAACTCATGGGTATAGGGAGGCCAATCCATGACCTGAATGCCATTAACCAATAACCATTGATAAGTGAAGTTTGCATTGTGGATTGGTGCATTATCTTGTTGCAATTGCCAGAATGGACCACCTTTTTTTTCTCCATGGCAGAAGATATATATCCAAGGAGTTTTGATATCCAACTACTTTCATTCAGCCATTTATGAATGCTAAATTGATTTTTTGAGACCATTCAAAACCTGCCCAAATCATAACCGAGTCCTCTCCTTGCTGACGCTTAGTAAACAAAAACTCATCGCTACTAAGATTGTGCTAATAAAATTGCCAACTGTCGAGACCATCAAATTGATCTTTTTTTTTTTTTTTTTTTAATCAGTCCAAATAACTTTACACCATTTTGAAGTCCATGTCATTTTATCTTTGACCCATATCTTTATTTCTTTTGTTGGTATTGTTGTTTTAGATAGGTTGCTGCTTTTCTATTTTTATATACTAGATGTTTTGTTGATGTTACTATCTGGCAAAATGTAGATTTTGGGAACTTTAGCGTGCTATTTCACCTAATGATGTTCCTGTTGTCATTATTTCCCAGCTAATTGCTGATTTATGATTTCTTGTCAACTTAGAAGGTCATCTTATTTGTTTTTTCTTTTTATATTGCACACTAAGTTTAATATAATAGGCTACAACACAACAAGATCTCTTCAATTGCTTTGCAATAGTTTTATCAGAACTTCCAGCCTGATATAGTGCCCTGATTCGGCCACATTTAAAGGCAGTTTAGGACTTAAGTAATTTTAGCAATGGGTAGAGATATCAAACAATTAATGGTGATATAAATTCAATTATGCCACTATTTGCAGTTATGGTGTTCTGCCACTTTTTTATAATTATTGAATTATAGATAATAGTGAATTTTTTTGATAAATCAAGCAAAAATTTAAGTTAAAATTTCTTGGATTACAAAATTATTAAATATGATTTATAACCATTACTTATAAATGACGTCACATACAGCGCTATAAAAACTGCAAGCCTAAATGATATTTCATATAATTATTAATATAATTACGTTGTGATAATTCATAAAAAAAACGTTTATAATAAAATTTTTATTTATAAAATAATCCAATTTTTATTATTCGTTTAATTAATATAAACTTTTTGTAATTTTCTATACTGTCAAAAGATGGCGTTGTTATAATTTATGACTTATTATTATTATTATTATTATTATTATTATTATTGTTATTATTGTTTTTTGCGTAATTTTATTATAATAAAATTACAAAATAAAGCAAATATATATTTTTTAAATTATAGTAATTCTCTAAATAAAGACAACATTTTTTTAACGTAATTCGTGTGCGTTAACGTCACGTGACTTCCGTTTCCGTGTTATCAATTTCAGAAACATGCTATTATTGACTTAATTTCATGAAAATGGCTGCATGCGCTAAAGCTATGGAAGCGAGGAGAGAGCTAATTCGTGAAAGAAGATCCCAAAAATTATCAATTTTACCAAAAATAATCAATAATTTTTAAAGGAAATAATCTATAGTTTAATAATATTTACATAATACGGGAGTTAGGTGAGACTTGATTTAAATTCTGTCAGACAAATGTATAGTTATTTCTGTCGAACATATTTGAAGGTTGTCATTAAATATGGATTTAACAGATGTTATAAGAAAGTTTCGCGTGGTCATTAGAAACTTTTTTATTAATAGTTGAAAAATAAAATTGTCTTTTACATTCAAAATTGATCCTCATGTGAGGGAAAATTCTTTAACCTGGCTCTAACTTGACTACACATTAAATTTTTTTTTATTCAAAAAAGATTTATTACATAAATTTTGTTACACTGTTGAAATATCTATATTGAGAATAGATTTTTTAAACATTTTATGATGTATATTTAAGTGATTATATTAAATTTGAATTATTTATTACAGATTCCCAATCATTCGGAAACAAAATTATCGGTCAGACAGGAAAACCAGTCTTAATAGCGTTTGCCAAAAATCATAAATTTGAATTGGATGAAAATGCCTTAAAATTAATTTTGCTTCGAGAAAATGTAAAAGATTGTCCGGTTGAAGTAATTTCTGTGTCTGGAGCTTTCCGGAAAGGAAAGTCTTTTCTTTTAAATTTTATTTTACGATATCTTCAAGCTAAGGTGAGGGAGGACAAATTTATTGTTTTTTCTTTATTTTATTTACTTTTCGCTATAGCATTTTAATGTATCTTTGATTATAGTGATGTATGTTGATATGTTTTAATATAATTGAATTTTATCAATACATAAATTATTGGCAAGATTTCATCTGTTCTGGGAACCATACATACCTTTCTAGAAAAGTAGGTCAGTCTTGTAAAAGCAAAAAACACAAAAATATTCTGTATGTGAGATTCTTCATTTAACACTGCATTTTAAAAATTGATTCCTGTAATGCTGAATAATTTACTATATTTATAATTTAAAAGAAAAAAAAATGGAACAGTGCTTAAGTTACTGTTTTCCTAAAACTCTTGAAATTAAAAAGCAGGATGTTAGGTCTGGATATGACTTTTGTATTTGTCTATGCCAGAGTGTAACTGTCAGTAATTGTCATGCTTTTTTTTTGAAGAAAGTAGGCATTGATCTGGCGACTCCAGATCAACTGATTATTATATTTTAATTGTTAGCATAATGTTGTTTCTTAATAAATTAATAACTGAATCACTGATTTTTGAAAATTTAACAACTTGTTTATGCAAGCCAACTCCAGCACTTCACCAAACATTATTTGTGTTGGTTCAAAGCATTCTTACATTTCCTGGAATTAACTAGTGCAGTTTTCAAAAAAAGCATGATATTTTTAGAATGAGCAGACAGTGGGACAGATCACCTAAAAAGTGGGATGTCTGGCCACCTTAGTTTACCTGATTACAAAAAGGTTCAAAAAATGTTATGATCTAAAATGTAGTAACAATGTGAAGTTATTTGTTCAAAATTTAGGCCATTTAATTTCATTAAGTATGTTCTAGCAAAGCTAAACTGTTTACTAAGATAAATAATCTGTATATATAATATATATAAATTAGATTGTCAACCAAATGTGTGTACAGAGATTTGAAGATTCAGATTCAGATGGCTAGGCCACATTGAGAGAATGTTGCCAAATAGATTAACATCTGATATTTATACTAGTAGACTAATAAGTAAGAGAAAACCGGAAAGGCTTAAGGAAAGGTGTGTGACAATTTGAAGGATGATATTCAAAAGATGGGTTTTTTTTGGACATTAAAAGCCTTGAATAGATAGAAATCTAAAAATTGTTGATGAGACCAGTGTCTTACAAGGGCTGTTATGCTAGGGAGAAGATATAATTTACAGGTTGAGGTTCCTTCTAATGAACAGTTGAGAAGAACCAATTAAAAAAAGGATCCAATTTTTGATGTGTCTAGCCTAATTATAAGAAACATAAGGAAAACTTTGAAGCAAAATATCTAATTTAACTTCTAATTTACAAAATGGATAGTATTTTTAGTCATTAAATAATAATATATTATACTAATTATTCATTTTAAACAAATAAACAATCCATTATAGAATAAATAAATTGTTTACTTTTGTAAATTTATTCTTTGATGTATAAATTTAATATATTTTTAATATTTAATTTTAATTATGAGAAAAATTATCTTAAATAGGGAAGTCCAAACTGGATGGGAAGTGATGATGCACCATTGAAAGGATTTGAATGGTGTGGAGGTTCAGAAAGAACAACAAATGGAATATTTGTATGGAGTGAAGTTTTCTTTATTTCTCATAATGGAAAACAGGTATAACTTTGATTTTTTTTAATCTTTAATCATAAATAATTTTTGTCAATTATATACAATGTTGATATCAAATATTTTATATACATTTAAAAAACCCAGCAACAAGTTGTATAACTTTTCTGGCAAAAAACACTAAGACTTACTAGAACAAAATTAAAATTGTCTGCAGCACCATGTTATGAGATTTTATTTAAAAAATAACTCTTTTTATATTATTAATTAATATAAAATTTATTAATTAGTGTTAGGAAGTTGTGAATGTGACCTTTGTCCTTGTAATTGTCGCGCCCTCTCCTCTGCTATGCGAGGAGAGGGCGGAGTGAGTTGAGTTATGTAAACCCTGTCAAGGGAAGTTGTACTTGGGTTTCAACTTCAGTTGGTCTTGAATGTGTGTTGTGCCCTAACATACATTCCTTTTTAGTCCTCTTATTCTTTGTGTTACCTTTGACACCAACCTTCATTATATCCATATTCTGACAATTAGTAATATATATTACTAATTAATATACAGTAGAGTGTCGTTTATCCGAATCAATTGGGGACTGGGGTTGTTCAGATAACTTATTTTTTGGATAACTGATTATGTACGAAAAAATACATTAACCTATCCCATGTTGAAATTTTTCTCCATTGTGTTGAATTTTCGTTGATGTTAAGCCTAATGTAAACTTTTTAAAATAATAATCATGGCTATTGTATCATTAAAAATTATTTCTTTATTTTTTACAAACAAAATAAATATATTGAAAAATATAAAAACAAAAAAATTTATACTTTAGAAGTTATCTAGTATCAAAAATGTTCTATTCAGCATGACACACAGTCCCCAGAAAAACACCACACAAAAGTGACAGTGCTGCCAGCTAAAACACATACACAAACATAAAAAATATTGGAGTAGCCCAAGATATACTAAAGATTGCAGTGCCACAGCACTAGCAAAAATTTAAATTTGCCGACTGGAATTTTTTCAGATAACCGACTTTCGGATAAACGACGCTTTACTGTATATAAATATAAAATAATAAATTATTATTGCACTGTACCAAGTGTAAGAGCAAACAAATGGAGAATATTTCCTTGCATCCTCTTATGAAAGATTTTAAGTTACATAAATAGTAGTTTTATACATTAAAATTTTAAAAGGAATCATTCAAGAATATTTTTTCTACTTTACATTTTTATATGACTGCTTATATATTGCAATGTAAAATATTATTCACTACATTAATTGTACAGACAGAAAGAATTGTTTCCAGATTTAGTGAACCATTAACTGACAAATAGTTAGCTTTAGCAACAATTTACAGTAAATTCTCTTCAGGTGACCAGATTTTTTTCATAGGATTTATTGTTTCTAAACTTTCTTAAGCTGATCATACCTTGACCAATGACTATCTGAATTTATAATTAATCCCTTTCAGTGAAATACCATCTTTCAGGTAACAGTTTCATCATCCTGAATGGGATGACAAAATCAGAACCATGGGCATTTACAGTATACAATGTTGGGTATGTTCATTAAGTATAAATATTCTCAATCTTTTTTCCAACTTCAATGTCTGTATTTTCTCTTACTCAGTATTATTGAAGAGAGTACAGTAGAGCATCGATTATCTGACCCCTGATTAACCATCACATTGGTTAACCAACCGTTCTAGTCGGGAAATTTCAAATGTCCGCTAGTGATGTGGCACTACAATATTTGGCTATGTCTTGGCTACTTTAATATTATTATTTTTTTAACTTTTGCGAGATTTAGCTGGTAACACGGCTCGACCATTGAAGGGAGGCCAGTATTTAAACGAGACTTCATTTTCTAATTATGAGTGGTTGTTTGTTTTGTGAGCAATAAAATAATTTAAAAATAATTTTTAACAATACAATAGTGACAATTATTATTTTAAAAAAATTTGTTAGGCTTAACATCAATGAAAATTCAACACGAAGTTGGTTAAAAGTGATATACTAATTACATGGGATATACTAATATACTATACTAATAATGCATTTTTTTCATTCTTTTCGGTTATCTGATTTTTTCAGTTATCCGACCAACCTGAGTCCCCAATTGAGTCGGATAATCAATGCTGTATTGTATAAACATTTTGCTGTTAATATCTTCAACAATTTAGCCTATGCTTTATTTCTTATGTTTTATTTATTCTTATTAAATTAAATAATATAACAAAACCAATGAATTTAATCTTTCCATTAATAGGGATAGATAAAATGATAATTGATGATGACAAATTTGGGTGGGATTTAAGCAGATTTTGAAATCTGATCTAAAAGGAGGATATGTTTGACCAAATAGAAAAGAGAAATGGGAAGGCATTATACAGTAAGACCCCACTTAATGCAGGGGATGTGTTCCTAGACAACAAATTGCTAAGCGAAATGGCGTTAAACGAGGTCATTTTAACATAGAGCAAATAGGGATAGGGAAACATGCAACCAAAAATAAACAAATTTTATTTTAATTTTAAGTTATTTTTATATTAATTCGTATAATTATGTGTTATTTAACATATATTAACATATGCATACACAAATGTAAAGTTCATTTTTTGTGATGGTGATTCAGACTTTTCTGAAATTCTCGCTTTTTGCAATAAAGTCATTCTTGTTTCATTTGTTGCTTTTTTCTTTCCTTAAGCAAATGTCAGTAGCAGAAGATCGCATCCAAAACACTTTGTGTTGCTTTTGCACTCCTTTCAAAATCTAGATCAGTGTTTCTCAACCTCTAACGGATCGTCGCCCCCTTCAATGTAGTATTGCCCCCTTCAATAAAACCGTTACATAGCATTGCCCCCTTCACTTCAAAATTTCGATGCCCAGGGCCAAGGCTAACGCCAAATTTGTACTGCATTGAATAGACTGGTGACTAGTATAATGTTGTTTGTTTAATTGTTGTATGATATAATGAATAAAATATCTAATTAATCTTAATATAATGTTTTACTATATCACCCAGAAAATTGTTTTTTGCCCACCCCAAAATATAAATTGTTACTAATCGCCCCCTCAACATGGAAAAACACCCACATGGGGGCAATATCGCCCCCTCATTGAGAAACACTGATCTAGATAATTTGCTATAATTTGATCGACAATTTTGGTTATCTTACCAAATGTTTACTAAGGAAATCTGTAGAGAAATTTTTTGGGTTTTTCGTTTTCAGAATCTATTTTCCAGTTCCACATGAATTCCATGTTCTGCCAGTTCTCAAAGGTCGTCATTGCTAAGGCTTTCGCCAGAAACCTGCTGTAACTTCTCAATATCCTGCTCGTCTATTATCTCCTAGTCTGCTATATTGATTAGGTTGAGTTTGGTCAACCTAACGATCCAGCGATAAGCTCTTTTTGTTGAGAATTCTTGGATACCTTCAGCCATAACTTCTTCCATACTTCATTTGTGCATTTGTCAGTTAATTCTTGCCAAGCCAAGTCAATATTGCATATGGCATCCCAATTTTATATTCTTTCCAAAATTGCACCAAACAGATTTAAAGAAGGTACACCTTTTTGCCACCTTTTGCCGATTGGTTCATGTTCGCAAATAATCGTATTATATACGAATCAATGAAATGCCGCGATAATTTAAATCAGCGTAAATTTTGAGCGTTTTTTAGGCTTCGAGTGGACCATGTTATATTGAATCAGCGTTAAGTGGGGTCTTACTGTATTACCAAAAAAGTTAAAGACAAGAAAGCAACTGCCTATTCCAAATTATTTTAAATCAAACATTTAAGTCTGTATACATTACATTTTCATGTATAATACAGAGAATTGTGATGTATTACCATATTTTATGGTAACTCATCACATATTAGATGCACAGGCATATAAAATACACCTCTATTTCTGCACAGAATATTTAAGAGAAAAAGTATTTAGTATATTTAAGCCATCCTGTGCTTTGGCACTCTGTTGTAAGTTTTTTTATAGTGTTCTGGTTAAAAAATAAGTAGAATACAGGTATACCTCGACTTACGTCGTTTCGAGTTACGTTGTTCCCGATTATACATCATTTGTCAAATAAGTATATGGAAAAATAAAAATCAAGTTTAAGTCATTTTATTCGACTTTACGTCTGTCCACCACAAATATTGAAGTCGTAATATCACTAGAAAAACGTTTGAAGCACATAAAATCATATTAAAATATATACAAGTATGTACTGTATTTACAGTACATGCATTCGTAAATTTAGATTACTTTTTTTCTGTACTATATTAAAGATAAAATTTATTTGTTTGTAAGCTTAAAATAGATTTTTATTAACCATATATTATTAAAAATGTGTTACTAAATAAAATACAGAACCGGGGATGGTAATTTATGGTTTAGCCTAGTGATAAGTAGATTCAGTGACAAGTAAATTCGACTTACGTTGTTTTCCTGGAACCAATTACTGACGTAAGGCAAGGTATACCTGTACACATTTTTATGTTGGATGTATATGATGAACATTTGATTGAAAATCATCTCATATTATCTAAATTTATACTTCTGTTTTCAAATAATTAAAATTAGTAATGCTATAGCAATAATAATAATAATTTTATTCAAGAGTTGGGCTATATAGAGGTTACCTGTAGCCTACAGAAGGCCATTTGAGGGATTCATATGCCTAAGGGAAATTGCAACTTCATATATAAGATGCAGTGCAATTTTTTTTTTTTAGTTTTTTTATATTCTTAAAATACAGTAATAAATAAATTTTATTTCAACATAATGTTAATTAATTTATAGCATTTTTAAATAGTTTTTACTGTGTTTCCTATACAGTAGTCTCTGTACTATTACACTACAATACAACATATACTATGTAATACTGTGTGTTACAATATGGTAATGCTACACATAGTAGTCTATACAGCACATTGTATCCATTATGCATTTGTTACCACTTTGACAAGACTGCACCTTATGATGGCCAGTTTTCCAAGTTTTGGAGGTGGTTGTCTTCAAGAGTTTTCAATGTACTTTAAATTTCAGCAATCTTGATTAAAAACTATTAAGATACATCAAAATTAAAAATACTGGGTGAAATAGCTTTAAACTAAAACGTTTATATAGAAGGCTGCTTTTTTCTAAAGTAAATGATAGTCTTTTCAGTAGAAATCTTATATGCATGAATTGGTTATATCACTGAAACAAAAAAAACTCTTGTTTGTTTTTGAGTTAAACAAATGAATTTTGATGTAAACTTTTTACATTTTTTGTTAAATGGAGCTATTTTCTTTTTAAAAATTAGGTAGCAGTACTATTGATGGATACCCAAGGTACTTTTGATAGTAATTCAACAGTCAGAGAATGTGCTACAGTATTTGCTCTTAGTACTATGATAAGTTCCATTCAGGTAAAAAAAAATATATGTATTTTTATAAAAATTATAAAATAATTTTTATAATTTTAATGACAGTAATAAAATAATTCATGTTGTTTTTGTTTTATTCAGTAATAGTTTTTGCTCTAGAAATTTGAAAATGAAGTATTGTTAAATCATTGAATAATTATGCTAGAGCAGTGATTCCCAAATTTTTCAAGCCACTGCCTCCTAGGTTCCATAAACTTATACACAATACCCCAACCGTGCCCCAACACCCCTAACCTATTTTCTTTTGTGTGAGAAAGGCTTGGAAATATTTTTAGAAAAACTTTTCTGTTAACCTCACACTTCCCATACATTGTTCTTCACATCTGGAAACTATTAAACACGATGTTTTTTGTTTTTTACCCATTTTAACAGAGGAAAGGAAAAAACGTTGTCAGTGACCCAACCCTTGCCATTCAGTACCCTACCTCCAGTGTCCCTGCCACCTATTTACTTCTTTTTGCTCCCTTAGATTTACTCACCACCAACAGAGAGTGGTAGACCCCACTTTGGGAACCACTGTTCTAGAGATTTATTATTTTTTTCACAAAATATAAATTATATCAAAAATAAGTGTTTTTATGCATAAAAAATAAAATATTAAATATCAACTTGAAAATGAAGTAAAATGACATGCATATAAATCTTACTAGATTTATATGCATGTGATTTTACTTCATTTTATTTGTCATTTTACTTTACTTATATTCATCATTAGGATAATAGTACTTTAGTAACAATAGTAATAATAATATATTTAAGAAAATGCTATAGTATGGTTTGACTGAGAAGCACAGAATTATAAATGCATTTTTATTCTTATCATTTATACAATACAGTAGACCCCCCTATAACGCAGGTTCATATAATGTGGATTCGTATATTGCGGCAAAAAAATTGTGACCGTATTTGTATAAAGATGCTAAAAGAGACTTGTAAAATGCGGTAAAACGTCATTGCCGACTCGTGTCGCGACAGGATTGGTCGAATCTGGGCCAATAGTGGACAAGCACACTACTTACACACTACAGAGAGTTTAGGTAGATAAGTTGAGTTTACTATCGTCTGTACAGAATATAAATTAGGTACTGTAAGTCTAATACAGTACTGTAATTTTATACATTTCTTGTGAAAAAAACATTTCTTATTCAATGGCCATAAAAATTATTTCTATTAATGATGTCTCCAAAGTTCAATGAATTTTTCGCAGAAAAATAACTTACCAGAAAATGCGCTAGCCATTTGGTGCGCTGCTCCATGACAAAAACAGGCTTAAGCAATGGCGGCGTCAAACGGCGCACACTCGGTAAGTAATCCTACAATTTTTTGTTTATAGCATAGTTTATACGGATTATTCCCAAAAAATTATACATGTTTTGGAAATGTTGAGTGAAATTAGTCTAGAATCGATTAATTTTATGGAAGAAAACCTTTCAAACATCTGTAGTCCATAAACTGCACATGTGCCGGGCTGTGATTTGCTCATGTATTTAAGGATTCCTACAACGTGAAATTCTTATAAAGTGGAACGTATCTACCATGTTATGGGGGAGTCGATTGTAATATTATATAACTGCAAGTATAAGTTAATGATATTGATTTTAATTTATAGGAGAATATGAGAAAATTTATATAGTAATGCAAATTTTTTACCATTTTTATATGTAGTTGCTTACTTACTGTAAGTTTATGCTATATTTTCAGCTTGAAAACAAATGAAAAATCTAAAGACTGTACAATTAGGTTTTATGCATTCCATTGTATAAACATTACATCAACTAATCCAATTATATAAGCCAGATCTACTGAATTTTTTGGGCTATAATATGACAAATTTTAATAATTGTATATAAAGTAATTTGACAAGAGTAGATTGTCTGCCTTATACTCTATACATAATATATCTGAAATTTATTGATGTTTTGAAGTTATTTCAATATATTGTAGCAAGTTTTCATTTAAATAAATTTTTTCAGTGATTATATGGATTAGGTAGATTTACTATGTAATGGTACATTCTCAAATAAATACCAGGAATTGTCCATTTCAAAAGCCTGTGTAAAAGATATGAAAACAAACTTTTTGTTATAAGTTGGTACAAGTGTACTTAATTGTCATGTGAATTTGTAGCATCATCTGTCAATTACTTTATTTACAACTGTTGGTTTCGTTAATGAATGTGAAGTGTGCTTTATGATTTTTAAAATGGATAAAAATATCAAACCAAGAGTTTGTCTCAAATTTTGTGCTGCCAATGAAATTTCTTGTGCTGAGTCATTGAAAATGTTGCATAAGCTACAGTGAGTCAGCTTTATCTAAAACATGTGCATACGAGTGGTACAAAACATTTAAAGATGGCCGAGAAGTGGTGGAAGACTTGCCTCATTCTGGTTGACCTTCAACATCTTCAACTGACGAAAACATTAACAAAGTGAAGGAAATGGTGATGGAAAATCATCATTCAAGCTTGAGAGAGATGGCTCAGAATGTGAACATATCTGATGATTTCGTTTGCACTATTTTAGTTGATGTTTTGGGAATGAGTCATGTCACAGCATGAATTGTTTCAAAGGAACTGAATTTTCTTCAAAAAGAGTACCAGAAAATGGTTGCTGAAAACATGCTTGAACGAACCAATTTATGAACCTTACATTCATGAAACACATCATAACAGGGAATGAGACGTGGGTTTATGAGTTTGACATACAAACCAATCAACAAGCTTTGGAATGGCACTTTGAGAGTGAGCTGAAACCGAAAAAATCATGTCAAAGTTGCTCAAAAATCAAAGTCATCAAGTTGACTGTTTTCTCTGACTGGTGTGGTGTTATCCACTTGGAATTTCTTTCAGAGGGAGAAACAGTTAACAAACAACATTACCTGGGCATTATGAGGTGTTTGAGAGAATGTTCATTGGAAAAGGCCACATTTGTAGAAGAACAATTTTTGGATGTTGTACTATGATAATATGCCATCTCACACATCCACCCTTGTATGCAAATTTTTAACCAAAAACTCAATGAATGCCATCGCCCAAGGACCATATTCACCAGATATGGCCCTGTGTGACTTTTTTCTCTTCCCAAAACTCAAATTACCATTTTGTGGAAGATGTTTTGAGTTGATTGAAAAAATAAAAGAAAATTTGCAGAAGGAACTGCAGACCATACCAGAATGCACTTGTAAAAAGTGTTTTGATGACTGGATTATTCATTGGCAGAAGTGTATTGCATCAGATGTGGCTTTTTTTGAAGGTAACAAAATAAATTTGATCATTTCAACATTTCAGCATCTTCATTTGAATTTATGTTTCTATCTTTATTTTCAAATTTAAAAGAATTCAGAAACTGTTCTAACTGATGGAAACAGGTAACTGCTTTATGCGATAATGTGAATGTATGCACAACAATTCAGAGAGCTTGCAGACCCAAAAGCCAGACTTCTTTGTAACTCATTTTTTCTTTAGTTAACCAGACTGATAGATCTTGTGGTTCTACATTGCAAAGACACAATTGCCAGGAAAATGGTAATTTTGACCAATGGTTATCGGTGAAGAAATCCTTTGCAATTCTTTCAATTTCATTTCTTTAATAAATTTGGATGATTAAACCAATATTTTGTATTTTATTTAACAAGTCCCAGTATTTATTTGACAGAATGTATAATTAATTTTCTTCTAAATTTATTTATTTATGATTGAGATCCTGAAATTTTCTGAAATTTATTATTAAATCAAAAATTTAGATTGATTTAGAATTCATGTATTTTATGATTTGTCCAGTTTGTAAAAATAAAATGCTTTGTTGCAATCTAACCATTGTTTAGTATTAGAACAGCCTTGAGGTTTTTTAGCCTTGACTATAACTATTGAACAATAGCTATAGTAAAAGCTGTCAAATTGACAGTTTTCAGTTTTTATTTGAGAGAAGTGACATTTATAATTCTAAGAGTTGTTGTATTCTGTATTTATATTATGATGATATAAATATAGTTAAAAAAATTTCTGTTATAATAAAAATATTCCTTGAATAATTTAGCCATTATCCTGATAATTAATCAAAATAATAATTATTTTTCTTCTAATATCAAACAATCTGCCAGATTGTATTAGGTTATATTATGGGTGCATTTAATAATTATATATAGAGTAATTTTGCTTGGATGAGGTAGTTAAATTGCTATCTTGTAATAAATTTTAAATATAAATAAATTACACAGGTCTGCAAGTTAAAAACTGCATAGGATTTTTATACATTTTCTTACAGATTTCAACTTGGAAAAAACGAAAAAAATGCCAAAAAAATTCCATCTCATCAATTTTTTTGTTACACTCAAGTTTTTGTTTGTATTTAGCATAAAATTCCTAGTTAACTTAAAATTTAGTATTTTTTTTTACTTAAAAAATGGCCTTAAAACGAAGACTTCTCACATTAATTCTGTCAATTATAGCTGGACTTTGTAATAAATAAATAAAAATGTTAATGGTTGAAGAGAGTAGTGGTAGGAGGTGGGTTAACTAGTTTTAGCGTTAGGAGGAAGGTCGCATGATCGTGTAGAAACAGGTTAAAAGTTGATAGTGAGTAATATTACTGGTGAGGTTGAGCATGTTTCAATATGTTATCTGGGATACTAGGAATAAATATAAACAACCTACTGTTGGATTAGATCATGTTTCAACAAGCTAAATAAGTTCAGTATCTTGCTGACCATCTGATGCCACACACGGTTTATATCCAGCATTCGAATGCTACTGTGCTTGTATTTTTATTTCTGGAATATGGCTCACAGAGGTTGTGTAATTTCTCCCGACATCTTCTGTTATGTTTGTGGTGAATACACAGTGAAAAGTCAGCATCTCCTTTATCTGATCCCCTCTTTTTGGAAACAATGGGAGAAAAGGAAAAAGAAGTATGGGACTCTTTCAAGAATGTAATGCATAAGGTTTTGGGGAATACTAAGGACCCTGACTACAAAACCATTGTACAATGCATGCTGGCAGTA